TGGGGGCATGCGGTTTGCCCCCTCTCGATTTTAAAAAATTTTATGTCTTTGAAATGGCATTTCCCGCATTTTGGGAGTAATTTTGAGCAAATGTAGTTAATATAAACATGTTTTTAATGGCATAACAACAATGAATTTCTATAAATATTTTTTGGCTGACCCAAATTGGGAAATTGCGACCTCAAGGTAATTGGGAAAACCGTGTTTAACACGGAATTTTTGACTGTAGCTAACACCCTGATAGTTTAAACAGTACAGAAATGCAAATGTTTGTTTATTAGTGAAACTAAAATAGACTTGTTCTTTTGGTAGTTGTGACTGAGAAAATGACAAAAAAGAAGCCAGTTTTTGGAGCTTTACCACTGTTTAATATGCCAGGTCGAGTCCATGATCAAGAGAACATCCCCCCCAGACGCCCTTTGCATCGAGTACAAGCTCCGGTTACCTGTCAGAAGTTTCACTCACTTGCAGAGGTTCAAAAGCAAGTTTGAAATTAAAAGAATTAAAAAGAAACTGGAATGTTGTAACATTGGATGATAGAATAACAATGCAAAAGATGAAATTGCCATATCTTTTGCCTGAGTATGAAATTGTGATCGATGACAGTCTTGGATTCACCCTGACTGTGTTTCATTGGCTTTTACCAGAAAATCATGAACTATACAAAAAAACATCATAGGTCAGTAAAACAAGTCAGCATTCAGCAGTTGATTGAAGAGATAATGGGTTATACCTTATGTAATGGAATAACCAATGGAATGCAAGAATGTAATATGCAAGAATGTAATAATATAGAGCACCATGTCATTCCCAAATCACATGATCCATTATAGGATGAGGATAATGAAGTAAAAGCTAGCAAGTCCTACCACCATGATGACTATCACAGATCCACCAATTGTGAACTGCTAATTTCACCATCTGCATCAATCGAGTCCTGTCAGCCATGCACAGCTGTTTCTTCTGCTCCAGTAAAGACACAGAAGAATATCAGGAATAGAGTGGTGACAGCAGCTAAACTGAAAGCTCCCATTTCCAAGACAGCGCCTGAAAGAATAAAACTAGCCCTTCAGGAACAACGGCTAAAATGTGCTAAACTGGAGAAAGAATTGGAAGAAATGAAGATAGAAATAGAAAACGCAAGCATAGCAGTCGACGATGAAATGAGTAAAGATGTTGTAAGCATGTTGTCGAAGATTAGCAACAAGGAAATGACACCATTCATGCAATTATTTTGGCAACAACAGAAAAAAATGCTGCAAGCAAGCACCAATAAAGGAATTCGCTACCATCCAATGATAATTCGCTTTTGTCTGTCTCTGGCCAGAAAATCTTCATCTTGCTATGAAGAGCTTAGAAACAGTGGAGTTCTTGTTCTACCAAGTCAAAGAACACTTAGAGACTATAGAAATGCTATCAAACCAAAGGTTGGATTTAATGCTGAAGTAATCAAAGATTTAATTGCTTTAACCACAACCTACTTCAACACTCAAAGGTATGTTGTGTTACTTTTTGATGAGACGACTGTTAAATCCAATCTTGTCTTCAGCAAGGAATCTGGTGAACTAATCGGTTTTACAGACCTTGGTGATCCTGAAGTCAATTACAACACCTTGGAAAAGTGTGATGATCTTGCTACGCATGCCTTAGTGTTTCTTCTCAGAGGTGTTTGCACCAATCTTAAGTTTGCATTGGCCTATTTTGCAACAACTGATATAAGATGTGAACAGATTCTTCCTGTGTTTTGGGAAGCTGTTTACATCTTAGAAGTTACTTGCAACTTGTGGGTCATTGCTGCAACTTCAGATGGTGCTTCACCAAATCGCGCATTCTATCGCATGCACAAAGGTCTTCAAGGTGATTCTGGCAAAGATGTTTGCTACAGAACTATCAATCTATATGCAAAATATAGATACATTTATTTTTTTGTGATGCTCCACATCTTGTTAAGACAGCAAGGAACTGCCTATCTCATTCCCGCGGTGGAGGTTCTCGATACATGTGGAACGATGGAATGTCCATCATCTGGGAGCATATTTGCCAGCTCTACTATCAGGATGTTGACAATGGTCTGAAATTATTGCCACGCCTCACTAACGATCACGTTCACTTGTCATCTTATGGTGTAATGAGAGTAAACTTAGCTGCCCAAGTATTAAGTGCTTCTGTTGCAGCAGTACTCAAAGAGTTTGGGCCTCCAGAAGCAGCAGGGACTGCTAAATTTGCACTAATGATGGACAAGTTTTTTGACTGCCTTAATGTAAGAAGTGACAGTGAGCACAAAATTAAACGAAAGCCTTACCTTGCTCCTTACACGTCACTGGTTGATGAAAGATTTTCGTGGTTAGAAAATGAGTTTCTTTCATACTTTAAAGCATGGAAGAAAAGTACAACTGATCGTGTTGGCAATTTCACTCCAAATGCAAGGAGCAAGATGTTTATCTCTTGGCAGACCTATGAAGGTTTACACTTTGGCTTCAATTGAGGTAACCAAATTCTTGCTAACTGAAGGCCTTGATTTTGTGCTAACCGAAAGATTCTGCCAGGATCCTGTGGAGGAATACTTTGGAAATCAGCGAAAATTGGGCCGTCAATCGGACAACCCAGATATGTTTAGCTTTGGATACAACACAAACACTCTGCGAATCCAAAGAGAGGTTTCCCTGACCAGTGGCAACATGAGAGGGCGAAAGGACAAAAGAAAGTCTTGGGAAAACGTTTCAGAAGATGTTGTGCCCAAACGAAAGGTACTGCGTACTAAAAATACTAAATAAAAACACAGACTAGTTGAAGGCTGGTTACATTGTACAACGTATCATGTTCATATTTAATTTTGATGTGTATTACATTTAATACAATGTTATGCAATATGAAGGGTGAAATATAAAAATATATTTGTTGCTTAATCTCATTGATTATGCTCTTGTACTGTATAATGTAATACAGGCATTTTGACTTCGGCTGGCAAAAATGTATCTTTTTGTGAAATTATGAGAAAAATAATATATTTTGCCAAAGTTTAAATTCGGCGATTTAAACAGAAGTATGTGGATTATTCCACGATTTTGCACAGAATGTCTGAATTAATGCCTGAATTTTACTTTTTAATATTCTTTTTTGGTGCAGATTCAATAGCTCTTTGGATATCTTTTCTTAAAGCCTTCTGTTTCAACTTACTTTTTGCAGCTAGCTTGTACTTTTGAACAACATCTTTGGCAAGGGAAAATGCTCGTACTTTAATATACAGATAAACAATTGAATGTAAAATGTCTTTGCCAACTTGTTTTTCCGGTTTAAGTTCAGAATTAGCAATTAAAGAATCAAATGCTGATAAAATGTCTGGGTGTGATAATGACCTGAACAAAATTGTATTAACATCTACCTTATTTTCATTAATGGATGTAGTTAAATCTCTAAATATGTTTTCAGTTTTAAATATAATCACCTGGGCATTTGCATTTATAGCCCACAAACCACCACGGTTTAAACATGAAACCAATTTTTGTTCATCAACGTCTGTAGTACGAGCAGCTTCAAGAACAGAAATTGCTTGCTGATATTCTGGCGATTTCCACTTTGGGCTGTTTTTCAATTTCTTGTGTAAGTTGTGAAAAACATAACCACCACGGTATTGTCCCCCAGATCGTTCTCTTTCCGACAGGATAGTATTTGTAGTGCTAGTTATATCCCTGGACCGTCCAGATGGGTCGACATCAACCGAGTTCTTGTCTTTCTTTGCAAGAAATAACATGTGATCAGCAACTTTAGTGGCAAGGAATGTTGCTGTCTTTTCAGCAAGTCCTGGAAAATATCTTGTAGCCTTGGGTGGTACCTCACTAAAATACTGTGTATAAAATTTCTCCACGTTTCCCTTTTTCTGATATTCTCTGTAAAGCTTTTGCATCATTTTCATTTCACAAGTATCTTCCCCAAGAACCAGACAGTATGATGCAAGTTCATCTCGTGCTGTCTTTGGATAACAGGCATTTTTGCTCAGTTTTAATGCAGTCTCTTCAACAATCTGGGAAAGAAGGTGAGTTGTTAAGTCATCTTGGCAAATACTGCCACTGCCGTTGGTTGCATGATCATGCTTTGCATTGGTGTGCCTTTTTAAACCAGATTTGCTTTTGAATTTCTTGCCACACATCTTGCAAATAAAGTGCCCAGTTTCAACCTATAAATAAAAGAGACAATATATGTTTCTCCTATATTTATTCATTATAGAAATAGATCAAATGTGGGATAAATATACACGGCGTTCAATATATGCATGATCAAAAATTTCAATATTAAGTATTTAATTCAGATTTCTGCACAATTTGATTGAACTGAGCAAATTGCGGCGTTGTAACTGACGTTAAACACTCGTTTACAGTAAAGTTGTTTCATTTTGTTGCCAATGATAAATTAATTGGCGAAAACCTCTTCTATCAAGTCAGGAACAAGAGCAAAAATAATAAAATATGTTCATATCCTCACTTTTATATAAAATCGTCAGTATCAAAACAACCTAAAATTCACTATATGAATAGAATTTCTGTCTTTTTAATTATTGTGACAGTGTACTTACATCGGCAATAGCTTGTTCAAATTCTTCCTGAACGTTTTCATTTTCTTCTAAAATATTTAATACTTCATCAAAATCATCGCCAGATACGACAAAATTGTCCTCCGTCAAGGCCGCCATCTTGTTTTGGTGTGCACGGTGATATTCACGTGACCGACTTTTCAACATCGGTTGCCAAGCGCACGAATCGTCTTTGAAGTTTACCGCGTTTCCTAACCATGTTCCTATATGAATTCTGTCGGGAAGTTTGTTGCGGGGGTCTGGAAAATTACATGAGCTTTTATGATCACATGACAAATATTAAATCAGATGGATTTAATCAAAACCTTGGGTCATTCCCGAAAAGATCCATACCACCCCCACGGAGGAAATAGGAAGTTAACCCCCCTACCCCCTTTGGATGTCCTAGTACATTTACTATTATCCTAAACAATTTTATCTCCCCTCCCCCTTCGGATGGCAGAAATTTCCTCTGTGGGGGGAGTATGGATCTTTTCGGGAACGACCCATTATAAAATAAACAACAAATGTAAATCACATTATAGAATATATTAATACAATTATACAGAAAGCTACAACATATACATCTACAAATCAGCATATATCAACACTATGTTGTTATTATTTAAAGTTGCACCTCTCACATTATTCTGGGTTAGATATAATATGCTAATTTGTATATAGTATTATTTTTACCTAACATCATAACCTATGTAAACCATTGTATTTCATTAAAAAAACAAGATATCAGTTGATATCCACATCGTTATATTTGTGTTGTATGTGTATGCAATGATTTTTGCCTGCAGATTGATTGAGACAAGAAAATAAAAAGCTGAATGTGCAAATAATTAGTTCTGGCAAAATGTGTTGCTTTGAATCCTTTGTCTGTAGCTCAACAATAAATGCATGCAGTGCCAGTCAAATGGTCATGAAAGTGGACACATTCTTCAAACAGATTTTTCTCCCTGTGTGAGTAAACCATAGTACACAGAGAAAACCTACAACATTTGGTTCAGGT